CGGACACCTTCTGTCGAAAGACATTCTTCTACCGTAACAGCAAGTGCAGAACTATCTTCTAAGCAAATATTGTCGCCGTCTAGATAAGGTGTATAGTTGCCCTGAGACAGAATTGTGTTTGGTCTAGGCTAGGCTAACGAATAATTCAATTGATGTGTAGGATATTTTGTATCTTATTATTCTTGATGTTGAAAATGTCAAAAACAATGAAAAATGGAATTAGTTTGAAAGTAACGAAGCTTTCATTTTGTTTAACTTGACATCTAGAGAACTTGAGTTGTTAAAATTGTTAGAACATAGAACATTTGACAACAAACTGGATAAAATCAGGAATAGTTAAGGATATGTTATCCATAGAAGTTTTTCCTGTTCTACTGGAATAGTTTGGGCTAGTTTATTTCGCTTTTTCTGACTGTTCTTGTCTGAGCTATTTCAGGCGTTAAATTCTCTACCGTCGGCATACATAATACGTGTGTAAATTATATATAATACTAAGCCCAACGGGCCGAATAGTTAAAGTTTATCGAATGAATAGAACATTTTATTATATACTCATCAAAGTAATAATATAAAGTTACACTTCAAGAACCGTCCTCTATCCAGAAGACAAAAAGATACATGTGTGGATCCCACCATCCCTGTGATTCAATTCTGTAAAAAGCAGCCGTAGCCATGCAGTTCCACGCAATGCGATTCCGCCTCATTTCTAATTTTCATCCGTCAGATGAAACTTGCCTTCACTTTTAGTTGCGCTGCACTGATATTGGCAGCTATCGTGAAGGGGGGCTCGCTAGACTACCACACGGCACTGGTCGCCAACTTTGCCCCAGGGAACAATCTCTCCAGTGACGCCATCGTGCCCTTGCTCCAAGACACCAACCATAGCGTATCGGCTAACTTGCCGTCAAGTATCATTCGGAACAATGCTACCTACGCCCCACACAACAGGATAAGTATCGTGCCCAAAGGCTCTAAAACGTACGTTGCTGGTCTTCGTTCTACCCCAGAAGGCAGCAATTTCTGTAGTGCTTCTCTAATTTCACCGACTCACCTCCTCGTTGGGACCTACTGCGTCGTGGCCGACGTACGCTGGGCTTCGGTCGGTTCGCACTACGCCAATGGTACCCAAGAAGGTGAGCAGATCAAGGTCATCGCGATACTCAACCATCCAAACAGCTCGGTTGGGGCCTTCACGGACGATTTCGCAGTTCTGCTTCTTGAGAAGCCAAGTTCATTCAAACCGATAGCGTTGGCAGCCTCGGATGATTCCGACGTCAAAGACGGTGAGTGGGCTGCCAAAATGGGCTGGGACGATACAGGCGGCGAAGGAACCATGGCGTACGAACTGACGCGAGAAGATGTACAGTTGATGAACAACGCGAACTGTCTCGAAGAAACCAACGTGGATGATACCAGGCTGTGTTCGCGAGATTATTCTAATGTGACATCATGCACGGGTGACTATGGTGGCCCAGTGGTGGTGGAGCGTCCGAGTGGTGACGTATTGGTTGGGATATCAAGTTGGGGTGGCGATTGTGGTAAACCTGGGTATCCTAGCATTTACTCCCGCGTGTCGAGTGCTCGAGCGTGGATTGAGTCTGTTACTAACGGCGTGTGCTATCATTGAGCTTCTTTAATCTAACAGCCTCAACGCCAAGTCCCTGTCCACTTATTCTATAGTTCATGATGGGCGGGAAGTACGCAAACCGCACTACAGTCTCGATAACATAATACAAGGCATTCCGCATAAAATTCCACTTTCAAAGCGCCCACCATCTTGAAGTATCCGGGCAAAACAATTTTACCGATCTTTAAACAAGCGGATCGGCACTGTTCGTGATGTTACATACTGAAGACAAGGGCAGAGTTTCTAGAATTCATGGGAGGTGTTCAAATTGCCATGGAAGAAAAATTGTTGAGGCACGAAAGCGTCAAATCTTGGTAAGAAGAAGAGTTCAACTCAAGTGGTAGCCAACTTAAAACAGAAATCACTCCTTATTAATAAGAATGACTCTGTAAGCGAGGACGCGCTAATCGGGCATAGTCGCCATAACCGCAACAAATTCAAAATTCAAAACTACTTAAGTATTCACCAGTCAAGCGAATCATTTATCTTAGCTGATTTATTTTTGTCTAGCAACGCAAATTTGTTCATCATAAAATTAAATATTTTACTCCTTGAGTATCATTTTTTGTACAAGTAATTTTTGGTGCAGCGCACAGACCTGGACTGCAGGAATTGAAGCCAACAATACGCTGTTGGTGATTGAAAAGAAGATGCTCGTTATGTTGCAATAACATATTGAGTGGATGCCTTCAGGATTGACAATAAAATGTTGTGTGTGTTTTATTTCCACTAAGCTGACAGATGATGTGAATCGCTCTGTAATGCACCAGGGTGAATTTCGAAACCCTCCTGATGGATACCGTCGAACTCACACACTCGCGCACACCACACTAGAACACATTCTGGAAGGTTCCAGCCAAAAATTCTTGTCGAGTGAGGACTGATAGCGAGTTTCTGTAACGTCGTGGTTGCCCCAGTAGAACCATCTTAAAATTGCATAATGGTACCATGATAGTGTACTCGGTACGCAAAGCTTTGCTTCTTTTCCAGCAAGAAACCGAATAAGCCTATATACAGTCTGGGGACAATAATGAAGTCTATTTTGTGTTACTACCGATATGTGTTGGATTCATTGCGTTCGAAGGGGTGATAAATAGTTGCAGTAAATTATTCCAAGTAATTGTTACGTTTGAAATTTACCGAGCCGTATGCCTTAGCCGAAAACAGGAGCACCGCCGAGTCAGGTTGGAGAGTACAGTCGCAATTTAATTCATCTGGAAACCCCGTGTTGGTGGCGATAAAAACGAACAAAGACAAAAAAAAACTGATGAGAGTTTAACAGAGCAACCCGGTGACTGTCTATTGGAGATAACCCGCTCAATTTCTTGACTTCAAGGTACTACTACTCAAGAAAGCTTTGACATCGGCATGAGTTGTCCAGCATTTAGATGCCGTGGTTTCATTATCCCTTGAGAACAGAGTTAATCCAGGTCATGGCTTTCGACACGCGTGAATACACAGCGGGGTACCCCACTCCACAATCGGATCCCCAGCTCACCAATCCGATGACAATGTCATCTTCATCGCCTGGGCCACGCTCCTTAATCAGTGGACCACCCCCGTCACCGCCACAGGAGTCCTTTCCAACGACTCCTCCAGCACAAACCATCGTGTCGTCGAGAGGGTAGATTTGGGCACAATCTGTGTTGCTCCAGACCTCCAGGCTCACACCCTGCAGTTCGTAGGACTTGGTGCCGTTGGGGAAGCTCGTGTAACCCCACCCGACAACCTTGGACCACATACCAGAGACGGTATCGGAGTCATCAGCAGCAGGCAGCTTCACAGGTGTGAATTTGCTGGGTTTCTCCAGCGTTAGCACCGCAACATCGTACGAGCCGTTGATGTCGTTGTAGTCCGTGTGGTTTTGAGCAGCCACAACTCTGATCTGCTCGCCGTCTTGCGTGCCGTTGATGTAATGTGTACCCACGGACACCCAATTCGCCGGCTTGGAGATACCCAGGCACGCAGCCGTAGTTAGAACTTTGGTGGGAGCGATCAACGATCCAGCGCAAAAGTTATCGCCATCGATGGTAGGGCGGATGCCAGTCGTGTATTTCTTTGTGCCAACTGGGACAGCTCCTCCTCCAAGAACCAACACGCGACTGGCATGGTCGGTACTGGCAGCGACGACCCCGAGCATCATTGAGATGTTGGCAGCAGTGGAGACGACCTTCATGTTGTTCTGAGGCAGGTAGTTTGTAGGTGCTTGAGTTGTTGGAGGCAAAACCCGAAGTGACTGAGAATGATAAAGATGAAATCGGAGTCGAGCACGGCATGTCGATTTGGAAACATGAGGCCAGCTCGAACACTTCGTATGAAATTCTGCATCGGCATAATATTTGAGAAAGAGCTAGCTACGTGCAACCACACGACGCCAATCCAGCGATCAAGGATGTTGAGGAATTCCTTGACAACGGCAATGCATTTATGTGTAAGTTTACTAGCAACCCATCATCATCCACCTCACTGCTGCGATGGATACCGAAGTGCAATAGTACGTCTCTGAATACAGCACGAAGTTGTTCACCAACTTTCCTTTTTATTAACGACCCGAAATAAAAGGTTGGGTTGTACTATGAGAAGTTGGCGAGAGGTAGAATCATAATCTTGAGAAATGGGTAAACTTGAGAACAGCTTATTTTGTGCGGCCTTTCCACTCTACCGAGTGAACGTGCGCATTTCCCCGTGTTCAACAGTTATCTTACTGTGTAGTATACATGTATGCTTCAATTTTATTTATTGTTTGCTGACTAAATGGTATATATATGGCTCACTAAAAAACGAAGTGGGTCTACGTGTATTCAGAAAGCATGCACTTGACCGTAAAATACCGGCTCACACTAAATCTGCTGCGGACTCTTTGTACCTAGCAATGCATAGGATGAGATTATGTTCCAAGCACCGAGTTGTATTCAAGTTTGTCCCAATGCTAGTGCACACTGGTCTCCGAAGCTATTGCTGAGGCCGTGGCTTACGGTGTAATTAATTGATCCAGTAGATTGCCTGTTGAACATTGCCTCGTCGTTTGCGAATGCTGGCATTGTCTGTCGATTACAGCCATTCGCAACGCAACACGACGTAGTTACTATTAGTTAGCAGCAGCATCTGAAAAGAAAGAAAAAAAAACTTTTAGAACATAAGAACTCTACTAGTCCACAAATTGTGGATAAAAATGAAAAACACCAAATAAGATGCACTGAGCTGCTCTGGTAATTTGAGGAGGCGTCTACTCAAGCTTGGCAGGAGCATCGGGTTCTTGTTGGACACCCAGCACTCCGCTAGGTTTATCGAAGAAACGAAATTCTTAGCAATTATAGTATTTTCTGTACATCTGGTTGTAGAGACGGGTGCAGCAGCTTTATCTGCTGCGACCGCCTAATGTCGTTTTAGAATTCAGCACAGTTCGCAACACTGCGCCCTGGACACGACAGGTATGCTGCTCTCGGTGATACGTCGCTCTACTGGAGCAAGCGCTCTTCGCAGCGCCTCATCAATCGTCCACACCCACTACAGCCACTTGACTCGATCTACCCCAACGCTCCAGCATCGCACATTCCTCACGAGCCCCAGAGTCACGAGCTACGTCATGGCTCGAGCCAAGGTGCTACATCTCGCGGTGCGTAGCTTCCTGAACTACAACCAGATCATCGCGTTAGACAGCGCATCGTCTCCACTCAGTCACTACTTCACCCGCAGTGCGACGCTACGAGAGCGCGTCTACATGTACCTGGTTTGTCTGATTCCACCAGATCAACCCATCGACCTTCCAGATTTCCTTGATGGCGCTAGACAAGCTGCACACGTCGTGTTCGACCAAATTTACAGTGAAGAACAGGCTTATAACCTGTTACAAGAGACAGAAGTGCACCCTGATTCATTATCGAAAGTCGCGAGTGCTGATTGTATGGACAAGTGGGCTAACAAGTTGGAAGCGCAACGAAAGGCACTGCAGCTACCGGTCGGTACCAAATTTAAGCTGGAGAAACTCCAGGTGCATGACGTCAGACTAGCAGGGGCTGAGTACGAGTACTCGGACGCTCCAATGGACCAGAATAATGACACGTGCAGCATGTACCACATGAACGAGGCCGTGAGCTTGAAGGTGCGATATGTTGTCACGGAGCACTTACTGGCGTCAAGAAACGGTGGAGAAAACTACCTGACGCGGCATGCTGTCAAGACGACCTTCGACTGGAGTTTCTACTCGGATGTATCTCGCGCTCGGTTTGTGGACTGGCATATTACGAAAGCGACTCCTTTCAAAGTGGAGACAACACTGGGCAAACGACATGTGAAGAACAAGATTCCTGCTCCGATTTAAAGTGCGCTGGCGGGCGCGGCAAGGCATTGAGGCTTTTTGAGACCGCATAGACATTTGCATTCTGTATAGTTACATTTTAGAATTCTAACAAGATACATAATGAGAGATTTTGTTGTAGAATGAAGGCTTATAACGAGTTGCTGCATATACTATCGGTTCCTCTGCGATGACAACTTTCGGACACAAGATTTAGTCCGTTACCAAATTTACGACCAAAATTAAGTTTTGGTCCCTGCTGTCCCTGACTGCCACACAATCTGACATCTGTAATGCGAGCTGGAGTTCGTCCTCTCCCCAGCCTCCTGTCGCGACCCCAGCAAGTCTATCGACACGATCAACACCTCGCCAGCATTGCGAGATGCAGTCCTAGCCGTGGCTTGAGTTTTAGCGCGTCAAACGCACTGCAAACGCATCAACGTCGTCAATATTCATCCGTACCAAATGACCAGAATCCCTCACCTGAAGGTTTCCAAGAAGTTCTGGACACTTTGGCTAGAGTTCGAGCTCGTCAGGAACTTTTCGCGGAGTACAAGAAGCAAGATGTGTTCGCTCCGTCGAGTATGAGCTGGCTGGCCAATTGGTTGATGTTCTACCATCTCAATAGACCGCAGAACACGCAGTTGGATCTGATTGAGTTTATTCAAGGCGCCAAGTACGCGATGGGGGCGACCATGACGATCATGTACTCCAGAGAGTTTGCAGATTATGTGAGACGTGAGGATGAGGCTCCAGGACCGTTGAAACCGGACTGCGAGGCCGCGGAAATGGTGGAGCGCTCGCTTGAGACCGTGAGCTACGAAGCGTTCAAGTCGTTCATTCTCCAGTCGGCCAGTGCCGGAGTTCGCGCAGAGATGACGAAGATCGAAGTGCACAATGCGTATTTGTTGAGTGTGCAGTATGATCGCGTCGCTAAACGGTCGACAACCAACTCTTCGGGCGCCAAGGTGCTGGGAGTTCCGGTAGATGAACGACTGAAGCTGGCGGTGTTGTTTGATATCACGGAACATGTGAGTATGACGATGGCGGATTCAAATGGTGCTGAGCAAATTGCGAGACGTAACAAGGCGATTTGGCAGTTTGAGTCGAAAGTTACGAAACCGGAAGATATCGACTGGATCATTGAGCCGCTGCATCTTACCGCGTAGGATATGCGATTACTTAGTTGATGCAGTCTCGAGAGTCTATCATGAATAAATGAATGAAAATTGCAAGGATAATAGTCATTATGGTAGCAATTGGAGGATGAGTGACGGTTGATGTCGGTAAGTGTTCTAGGACAGAGTAAAATTTAGTTATTATGCTGTCACAGGGCGGAGGACACGCTGAGTGGGGTACGTTCTCGTCCAGATACGTACAGTAGTAGAGCGCTACAACACAAAAACGACTTTGAGAACGATAAAAAAAATAGTTTCAGATGTCCACAACGAAATGCTCAACGCTAAGCAGAAAGTAGCGGATCGAGAAACTAATTAGGGTATCCAAGCCCATCCTTATATATATATATATATAATGTTATGGCGGCAACGTAAATGAATAGCAGCAAGTGATGATATGAAGAACGAGGGTCTGCTTAAGTCCCGAGACTGGTAATTATACTACCGGTAGGACATGCATACCTCGCCTGTGGACGAGATGAAGAAGTGCAAGCAGTATACGATAACAGTACGACAGCAAGTACAACCACGAGTCCATCCAGTCGGTTTTGTGATCGGGAGACTCTTCAGTGAAAGAATTATTTACAGAGACATCGAAACTGATCACATTGAAACCTAATAAATTGTAGCACGACTGATTAGAGTGGGTATGGTGGTACACATCGTCCTTAACGTGATATATTCAAAATCTGTGCCTCAAACTTTGGAGAGAACAGCTAACAGATCATCTGTTTGCTGAATCTAAAACATACGCAACAAGTTTAGTACACAGGTTCGTGTACTCAACATTGCTCGTACGTTCGCAAGCCAAGGCTGTTAGTAACTACCACCTTCAACTAGTCAATTTTTACTGCGTACATGTAGTAAAGCTTAAATCAAAACAAAAATGCTTCCTCTTAGTGAAAGCACAACATTTTGTGCTACTGACCACTGCCAAAATGGGTTATTACATCTACAGGCTGAGCTTGTGAGGAGTTCAAAGCTCTTTAAGATCTTTGTTTAATAATACCATGTTTTTAGGATTTCACATTTCATTTTGCTTTTTTTGTGTTATTGCTTCCTTTAGTACAATCGCGTTTGCGCGATCGCAAAGGCAGTACTATTGTCTTCTTTTGAATGTGGCATAAAGTGTACAGCTCCAAAGTTTCAACTGACTGTCTTCAATCTAATAGACGGCTCCGGTTGGTGTCCAGCGACTTCTACGATATCCGGCGCCGAGTTTTAAGCATTCTCCGTTTGATAGTCTTAACGTAATTACTATAAGTGTTATGGTCCCGATTCCGATTCCTGACGGAGCACGTCACCCGTGCGAGGAAATTTAACCGTTACAGTACAAAGGTTCGGAAAAGTCATCTGTAAAAAAAATTGACATGCAGTACACGAAAGTCAACGGTTAGTTATCATTTGTGATAACTAACTGTGAGAGATCACGATGTTGTTGCTGCTGTGTATGTGCGTACTGAGTCAGGCAGCTATTAACAAAGGTTAGCTAGAGTACCTTCATCATGTGCGCCTTGCAACATTATTTTCTACAACTATTCATTATTAATATTAATAATCGCGGGTTAGTGTTGGCTTCGGTAAATATCCCATGAACTTTCACAATCCCCAGATGATCAATCTGGGGCCGGATAAAGCCTCATTTAATGCGACATCCTCCGCTCGAAAGAACGCACGACCTTACCGACCTCATTTGGTAATGTTTTATCTAATCACTTCGCAATTCGCCCACGAGTGCTCACGATAAAGAAGTCTCCAAATTTCCAGTACCCCAGCTACCGGAACCTCATGCGTCTCAGTTTGATCCTCGTCGTAATCGCCGCCACTCTTCTCACATGGAGTGATGCAAGCAATCTCCGTTCTTCCAACAAAGTCGTGGAGGATGCTGAAGAAGAAGAGAGAACGAATGTAGTACGCAGTTTTTTCAGGAACGATTTTCCGGAAGTTGCAGCTGAACCGCTTAAGGTTACCTTGAAGGACAAGATTCTCAACGTCGTGGCTAAACTGATTCCCAGCACGGAGAGGTTTGACGGCAAATTTGTCTACAAGGGCGGAGCTCCGGGGCATGAGCAGTTCAAGTTCACGCAACCGCTCCGCGGCACAAAACAAACGTTGGATTAGTATTTCGGCGGTGAAAAGGCCCCAAGAACTATATTGGTGCAGCAGCTAGATTAAATCGGAGATACGAACAAATACATGAAAAGGCGGAACAAGAGACGCATATTGATGCACCGGTGGTGCTTCTATTAGTGCTCGTAGTTACGCATGCGGCTTACTATTTACTACTGTACTGTAGTGTTAGGCAGTAATAATCTTCATGGTGTTGGCGGAAGTTCATCGCGTACTGGGTTTCTTAGCACTGTAGTGCTATCAACAAAGTGATAAATATTCCCGATGTTCATGCAACTTTCCTCGAAAAGGGGAAATGAACACCCGTTGATCGTAAAGGTGATGATAATAATTAACTTCATCGACAGGTTAGCTAGATCTGATAAACACAAGATCTTGTACTTGCTCAGTGATGTACGTTGATGTCAATCATTCGAGTAAGTGAAACGCACTGACAAACAATTTGGAGGGTACTCTTTCGGATACGCAGGAGTTATACGCTATGTATTAAGGGTGGAAGAGCGAGTCATGTCGTTGGGCTAGTATTCTAGTTCATACACATATAATTTACTGCAAGAAATACTGCGAACGAAATTGATAAATTCATGCATGGTGTTCCTAACAATCTAGCGTCATATCCAGCTTCCTGCTGTGTTTAGCATTATCGTTAGTTGCCGTTGTCATCCATCTTTATGTCAACACATTTCTCAATCGGACTTGCGTATCGTGTAAATCGATCAGACGTCCTTGATGTATATCCCAGGGGCAACTGGCAGTATCCGCTGTTCCTATCAATACTTCGAAATCCCATGTTAAACAAGGGATCATGCAACTATAATCTTTTCAAAAAAATAAAAATAATTATAGTTTTATGCTGATCCATAACACAGCTCTATCACTCTGTTCGCTGCCTACGAAAGGCACTGCAGCTACCGGTCGGTACCAAATTTAAGCTGGAGAAACTCCAGGTTCATGACGTCAGACTAGCAGGGGCTGAGTACGAGTACTCGGACGCTCCA